GCTCACACGGATTGTAACTTTCTATGTTGGGTTGTTTTCCTGTCAAGATTTCCTACATCTTTGTCTTCATTGCAATGGTTCACCGTTCAGAGTACAGGCGACTATTAATATTTGTTTTAGGAGATTTCTGGTAATTAGCCGCTACATTAGCGTCAAGCGTCAATCTAGTGCAAATACGACTTTTTAATCGAAATTGCTTTTTCGCTCTTTATAGCATGCCGAGGTTCTGGTTTCAGTGCACAACTGATGGGGCGCGTACTGCGAATTTTTTTTCCCTACACAGTCTATATCCATCTGGGCTCCTCTGATGGCCCCTCGCCTTGATCTTGGAGACCCACACAAATAGATAGTGCTTCGGGATACCACAGATAGTATCAACGAGCATATAAAGAAGGTCTATATATGCCTTCTCCTTATATGCTAACACTTGACTATACGTGTCATGAAAAAAATTCGCTGGCGATGAGCACATCACGCGTACTTTAGCACTCTCTCGTACCGCGATCTAACAACCACTATTGACACTTATGACCAATACAAATCCCGGTTCCAACCAACCATGCTGCTTACTTCACCAGACCCTGCTACACTTTGCACACAGCGTGTATACGCACGATACGTTTTTGTCATCCCTCTTCTGTTTATGTTAATCGCTCAGTTTTAGCGTGTCAGCTGACTCCGGATTTCCGGCCGGCAAACGCTTGCGGCACAATCACACCTAACGTAGCAAGTGTGAAAGACGGCGCAAACGCAAGTTAGTTCTTTGCTTAGTTCGCTCGTGTAGCCAGCCTTTTCTAACCTATATATATCGCTGGATTAACTGTTAGGTGATGTAAAAGGGATGTATGGGGGTGTCACAAATCTTCGTGAATACACTATCGGTAAATCGATCGACATTAGACCTACTGTCGTTACCGCCCTCGGCACACTGCGTTACTCGGTCGGCACACTGCTTCGTTTCTCGACACACTGTCTTGTTGCATCGCTGACCCACACTGTCGTATCGCTCAACGATCACTACTCGTTATCGTCCGGCAACATGTCCGCTCTATCGCTCGACGCCTGTCGTTATCACTCCGCCCACGTCTACTCGTTATCGTCGGCAACACATGTCGCTTACGGTTCGCCCACGTTGGCGTCTGTCGTAGTCGAACGCACGCCACACGCACGCGCTATCGCTGTCAAGTTATCGATCGTAACTTCGCTCCACATCGTATATCGTTCATCGTCGTCGTCGGTGTTTCGTACAACGTTCGTGCAAGTGTGAAATAATAACAACTTCATACATCTTTCGTTTCGTGACTACATCCCTACCACACTTACTCGAAGGCCGATGGCCGTTAATTTGGGTATGGCCCCCGGCCATTTTGTTTATGCAATATAGATGGCCACAAAACTCAAAATTTCGCTGCGCGGAACCGAAGCTTATCGGCATCAAGCATCTCGAATTATCGTCGAAGAGTATTCTTGGGTTCCCACTTTTACCCCCAAATGCCCCTAACATTCACATTTTCTCAGACAATCCCACTATAGTCTAGCTTCAAAATGAGCTAAAAGGGCAGAAATCTCACATTAGCAATTACCAGCATGTAATTATTCTTCATTTGAAATAGGTTGTTGTTCGCGTAGCTTTTAGCGGTCGCTATTGTATTCAAAATTGCCTTCAGTTATCTATTATTACTAGAATTTATATGCACACAGATGACAGCACGAATGCAACTTTTACGTTCTCAACTATCACTTAACTGGACCTACTGCTTAATACGATTGATATCTATAATGTAACAACGTTCCTGTACGTGTTCTTAATCTCTTATCATCCTTAATTCCTCCCCTCATCATCATCGACCTTAAGATCACCCACCACCACTGTCTTTTACGCTGCGCTCTACGTCGTTTCAATTGCGAAATGAACTACATATATCAATTATCTATGCTAGATTCCACGTAGTTATATAATCGGCCTTCGCCAACCAAATGACCAATTTTTATAAAAGGCACCCCTTAATCGTACGCGGGATTCAGGCGATTACGAGATGCGGAGACATCGGTAGGCTGGTGGTGTATTTTGCGGTTAACCCCCACCACCGCAAACTAACCTATTAGAGAATACTCTTCTTTCAGATCTTCCACTGTCTCCTATTAACCTCACCAAACCACGTATGTCCCTATCACACCATTCTCGGTGTCATAACCACATATACCTATATTACTATAATATACTATAATATATATATACAATAGTTATTAGCATCTTGATAGGTATCGTCTGACACGGCCAAGTTACCCTCA